AAAAAAAAAAAAAGAAAGAAAGAGGAAAAATCAGCTTGGCTCATCCCGGGAAAGGGGCGGCCATAAGGCAGCGGCACGGGGCAGACTGGAGGCGAGCGAGGTCCGGAGCTGCTTTACAAAATGAGGAGCGGTGGTGTGTGTGTGTGAGCACCAGGGGCGCTCCGAAACGAGGAGACTCATCAGCGGCGGGAGCGCAAAGCACGGAGCCCGCGGGCATCGGCGCTCCGACTGGCAGGCACGGACGGACAGACAGACGGACAGACGTCGCCCCGCAGCCTCCCCGCTCCCTCCGGACATTCCCTTCCAAATCGCCTTCCCTTCCATCCCCGGGATGGATCGTTCAGACTGAAGACCTGAGCCTAGGAAAGAACTCCTCCCGCTGCTGTCTCCTCTTGGAGACGGATGGGGCTGAGCACCTCCTGTGCTCAGTTATTTCCCGGCTTGGCTGCAGAGCTTCTGCTCAGTGAGCAGCTCTCCGAGGTCCCCAAGCACCACTGCACCATCGAATCCCCAAACTGGAAGGGACTCTTACAGGCCATCTGTCCCATTTCCTGCACTGAAAAGGCACACCCACAGCTCCACCAGTGCTCACAGCCCATCCAGCCTGACCTTGGCTGTCTGCAGGGTCGGGACACCCAGTCTTTCAGGGTGACCAGCAGGGTCAGACCTAGGCCTGCAAACTGAAACAGTCCTGGCTAACAGCTTGCCCGATGCCAAGCGTGCCAACATGGCATGGCTGGAGAACGTTCAAGTTTTATTGGCAGCACAGCAAACTCCTCTCTCTGTACCTGAGATGTGCTTAGCAGTTTCTTACTGACCTGCGCCCCATCTGCTTCTGTTTTCAAAAGGTCAGTGGAGGAAAGCTGGTTGCAGTAAAGGCCCGTGGGTCTCAGCGCCGGGTCGTTTACCTGTCAAAAGCAATAACAAAGCTCAGAGTGGGCTCTGGATGTCCCCAAGGCACTCGTTACCCTCTTGAGCTGAGCTGGGTGGGTCCGGGAAACTCAGAGCCCAGGTGGGTTTGGGGAGGGGGAGCCCATGGGGCAGCACCAGCATCCTCTCATTCTGAGGCTGGGATGCATTTTATCTTTCTCTCAACCTCCTGCACTTTGCCTTGGGCTGCTGCCAGGGACACGTGGTCTCCAGGGAGCGTGGCATGTCACCAAACGCATTTGACACGAGGGGAAAAAAGCTGCTGGGGAAGCTGCAAGCCCCAGCCTGCAGCACTCCCACACAAACCCAATGAGCCAAGAGCAGCTCCAAGGAGCTTAATGGCACTGAGACAAACCCCAGCAGCTAAAATTTCAGGAGGGGCAGAGCCTCAAACAGCCACAATGCTCGGCCATGGCTGGTGGCAGTGTCCCGGGCACAGTCAGCCAAGTGCAGGTTTCCACGCCCTTAGTTTGGATACAGCTACCAGGAGATAAGCAAACCCATCCCCAACACCTTGTCAAAGCAGCTCTGGAGATGCTGGGATGCTTTGCCTTCCCCTAAGGACACAGAGGCTGCAGCCTCCCCCGAGTCTAACACAGCTCAGAGCAGTGTCAATGGAGCAGGGACATCTGCTGCCCTTCTTGGGAAGGGCTGGGGAAGGGGAACCCTGAAATGCATTGTGGCAAATCCCCAGCACTAAACCCACAGCCAGGGGAAGGTTGGGATATGCACTGCTTGTAAATGAAGAAATTACAGAAACAAATGAATCTAACAAAGCTGGGGAGACCCGTTAGGAAAGCAACCCTCCAGAAAGCTGGGGAGGGCTGTCAGCAGTGGCACTGACCTGTTCTGAGCACATGGAGTTCATCCCAGGCATCTGCAGCGAGTTCATCTGCATCTGTCCTGCCATGGGATTCATGTTCTGGACGTTGGTGTTTCCTCCTGCCATGGAGACCGTGATGCTCATGTTGTTGTACATTCCCTGCTGGGCTGGTGCTGGCTGGGTCTGCCCCGTTTGGCTGAATACACTGATGGAGAGGGGAGAAAAGGGTTAACCAAGTGCTGGTGGGAGGATGCTCTCTGCCTGCCTGTTCTGGAAGGGATGAAGCATGTGAGCCATCACAGGAGCTTTAGCCACCCGAGGAAGCCCTCGAAGGCCAGTGACTACTGTAGGAACATCTGCCCTCTGCCCCTCAGTGTGACATGGTGGGGCAGGAGGGACAACAGGGACGAGAGAGGACCATCAAAGAAGTGATGCAAAGCCCTGGGTGAGGTGACACCAAGCTCTGCTTGACCAGGGAAGGTCAGCTGAGCTATCAGCAGGCACAAAGCAACACAGCCTTTTTAATTTTAACTTTTTAATTGTTCATTCCTGGAGATCTAAAGCTCCAACCTGACTTGCACAAAACCAGTCTGATGGCTCTTCCCATTCGCTTCCAAAGTCTATCAGCTTTCACAAGACATAATGAAGCCACCTCATTCCAAGAGCTCCTCACTAATTTAAACCACTGTGCTGGGTCCTTCTGGCCATCCCAAGACAAGGTGAGCATGAAGCCATGGGTCAGTGGTTGACTTGCACATGGAGTGAGGACACTGGATGTAGGTTCAGCCAGGCTGGGACTGTCTCCTTGGTGTCACCATGTCTGCTCTTGGTGTCCTGTCTGTTCTTCCCACGTCTCACCTCCCCACCCACGCTACCCTAGCCCAGGTCACTAGGGTAGGGGCTCCTTTACTGTCCCTTCCAGCCCGACCCACCCAATGACACCATGATGACCTTACCTGCTGTTCCCCATGGCTCCCTGCTGCCAGGTCTTCATGTCGGGTGACTGATAGCCCGGTGCAGGCGGTGCTGGCTGCAGCATTGGGCTTTGTGATGGAGGGAGCTGTGGTGACATCAGGGGACTGCTGGGGCTGAGCGAGGGGGCGAAGGCGGGCTCATTCTGCTGACCCATGCCTGGGGAAGGAAGGACAGACAGCATCAGCTGTGTGATCCATTAGCAGCCTCCCCTCTTCCTCCCCATCCTGCAACTGCTGCCATCAAACCCGTGACTTCTGCCCTTGGAATCTCTGGTTTTCATTTCAAGCAGCTCTATCACTCAAATTCAACTAACTCATAGATGAATGATTGGGGAAACCGGCCCACCACGTGGTTTCCACCAGCAGGTGCTCCAATTTCGTACCACACCTGTGTGGAAAATAGCCAAGGTAATGCCAAGACAATGGCAAAGGTGCTTCCTGCAGGGCTCTGCTCATCAGTTACGTGTGCCATGCTGAGACCCCACACTGCTGCTGAATGGGAGCAGCTTCAAGCACCCGACATCATCCTTGCACCCCTCTGCACAGGCTCACCAATGTCATCAGAGCTCTGTGCCCAGGCAAGAAGCATGAGCTGGCTGCAGCTCATTTCAGACATCTCAGCGACAATAAGGACTTTTCCGGAGCATATAAAGTTAAGGAAGCACCATTTAGAGAACTGCTTTGCAGTTTCCTTTTTGCAGAAAGAATGAACAAAGAAATGAATCATTGGCCAAAATTATCTATTTTGAAGGGGATTCAGCCAGGAAAGGTTTGCTTGGGATATACAGAGCAGTGAGATGTGGTGCGAAAGACTGGATGTTGTGTTGAGGGACATGGTTTAGTGGGAGCTATTGGGAATAGGTGAACGGTTGGATTGGATGAGCTTTTAGGTCTTTTCCAACCTCGGTGATTCTAGGATTCTATGAAATGGTGGCAGTATGGCTCTGCCCTTTGCCTATCCTTCCCCACTGCTTTTACACCACTGGTGTAAACGCAAGCAAAACCCCAATGGCAGCAAAATCCATCCCGTGTGCTGTTTGCTAAACGTGGGTTTTCTAGGGTCACCCCTGTTCTTCTCCTATCCCTGCACCCCTCCAGCTTGCCCATTCCCTTGCCAACCACCCCTACCCAGAGATGCCGGTCCCCTCCATCCCCACCTACCTGATCCCGAATACTGAAAGATGTTCTGCTGCATCTGCGGCGTCATCCCGGCACCGAACTGCCCTCCGACGCTGCCCATCATCCCCCTGGTCACCATGCCACCACGGTTGGCCAACGCAGCCTCAGGGCTGGACGCCAGCTGCGAGAAGGGGCTGGTGGAGGTGGGAGGGTTCCCGGGGCTCGTACCGTAGTTGGGGGGATAAGGGAATTGCTGTGGGGGAGCCTGGGGGAGGCGGGCGGCCCCCATTTGCACCGGGAGCCCGGCTGAGGGTGGGAGGTTGTTGCCAAAGCTCTGCTGTCTCATGAGGATGGCTCGCTGCTGCATGAGCTGCCGCTGCCGGTGCTGCTGGCTGTAGAGCTCGCGTTGACGCTGGGCCAGCATCTGGGCGTTGAGGGGAGGCTGTGGGGAAGGAAGATGTTAAAAGAGTTAACTCCTCTTTGCATCTCAGTGTACAGCTCAGAGCCCCGGGAGCGACAAGCCGTGCCCCTCTTTGGGGCAACAGGCCTTGATTTGTGAAGGGAAGCTGGGAGGAAAAAAGGGAACGCAGCACCAAGGAGCGACTGGGGAAATGCTGTAGATTGGATATCTGTGCAAATCAGGGGTTGAGGATCTCAAAGGATCGGCCCCCATCCAGGCTGTGTCCCCCAGCCAAATGGGAAAGCCTGTATGATTGCCCTGCTACCAGGTATGATCGCCTAGTTATGGGATCATTGCTTCTAGTGGATACAGCAAAAGCCTCCTCTTGTGCCCTTCACAGAATCATAGAATGGCCTAGGTTGAAGAGGACCACAATGATCATCTAATTTCAACCCCCTGCTATGTGCAGGGGTGCCAGCCACCAGACCAGGCTGCCCAGAGCCACATCCAGCCTGGCCTTGAATGCCTGCAGGGATGGAGCATCCACAACCTGGGCAACCTGCTCCTGTGCCCTTCAGGGAAGGCTCCCAGCGAGGAGTGCCCAACACCAGGATCTCCAACCTTGACCCTGTAAAATGACATTTCCCCTGGCACTGGGCTCCTTCCCTAGCTGCTGGGCCAGATGTGCTCCCATCCATCACCACAGGAGCTGCAGCGCACCAAGAGGGAACTCAACAAAGCCATCACAACTGCCAATGGAGCTCTGATGGAAAGTCCCTCTGTCTGCAGCTCATATTCCCCACCAGAGATGTTGTGATGCTTAACGAAACTTGCAGGCTTCTCAGAGAAGTGGAATAAAGTTACCAGAACTCAGCTACGCTTTCCAAGTCCTCCTTGCAGGGAGCAGATGTTTTTATCCACTTTATTAGAAGTGAAACAAGAACTTTAGGGCCTGGGGATTTGCAGGATCATTAAGAAGATTTCACTGGAGATTCTGGTATTTAAAGGATGGCATCTGTTTTCCAAAGATCCTTCTCAATTAACGATCTTGGCACGTTTGTCTCTAAGCGATGATGAGGTCTTTGTGCCTTACCCAAGTGTAGGGGATGGAGTAAAGGGGGAGGAAAAAGAATCACAAAGGCACATCTGGAGCCACTCCTCTGCATGGTGGGTGATGTTCCCATCCCCAGGGAATGAGCAGATGGGACTGAGCTGCCTTTGCCACCACGCTGCATCCCCCTTACCTGCGGGGTCATCTGCTGCTGCATGCCTGCCCTCATGTTGATGCCCACGGGGGAGCTGGCTGCAAACTGGTTGAGGATCGCCTGCCGGTTCTGATGGATCAGCTGCAGGGAAGGGAGGACAGTCAGGAAGGTTTTCCAGCTACAGATGCAGATGTTCCAGCAATATTTTCCCTTAGTGTCCACCCAGCCTCCGGCTACTCAAAGCCCTTCCAATCTCCCCTCATCGCAGGACTGGCGCCGCAGGGAGGACGCTGCATCCCTCTCACCCGTGGATCCAGCTGGGGGTTGGGGGGACTTTACCTGCTGCTGGCCCTGCAGCCGTTGCTGCAGCTGAAGTCGCAGCTGGTTGGGAGCCGTGGGGGGTCGGCTGAGCGTCTGCCGGGGCTGCATGGCCATGGTGGTGGGGAAGGCACCGCGCGGCGGCGGGACCTGAACCGGCATGGGACCGAAGGACGGCTTCTGCCGGACCATGCCGGGGAAGGCGGCAGGGAGGTTGGTGGTGGGAGATGCTGAGGAGTAAGGCTGGGGGTACATGCCAGGCTTCTGCTCCATCATCAGAGGAGGGGTGGCTTGCTGAGGCTGGAACCGTTCTGTCAGGGCTTCCAGCCCGCCGCCCTGGAAGGGAGAAGAGGGAGGAAAATCTTTACGCTGGAGCCCCACCTGCAGCCATCCCCATCCAGCACAGCTCAAGGCCAGAGCTGTCCCAAGTGGGGTTAACCATCATTCCTCAAGGCTTTGATAATGCTGGAGGGATGGGAGTGATTTCTGCTGGCTTGTTTTGGAGCAAGGACCCCAGGAAAAAAGTCCTTTGAGACGGGCTTGGGCTTCATCTCTCTATATCCAAAGCAGTGATGGATTGTGGTGTGCTCACTGCTCATGGAATTATGGAAACCATGGAATCATGGAACCAGAAAATCAGAGAATCACAGAATCATGGAACCACAGAATCACAGAACCATGGAACCACAGAAACGTGGAATAATGAAATCACAGAACCATAGAAACATGGAATTATAGAACCACAGAACCACAGAGGCATAGAATCATGGAACAATGAAATGACAGAACCATAGAAACATGGAATAATGAAATCACAGAACCATGGAATTACAGAACCATGGAACCATAGAATCATGGAATCACAAAATCACAGAACACAGAATCATGGAATCATAGAACCACAGAATCGTGGAGCCATGGAATCACAGAATTACAGAATGGTTTGAGGTGGAAGAGACCTTAAAGCCCATCCAATCCCAACCATGGCAGGAACCATGGCAGGGACATCTCCCACCAGACCAGGTTGCCCAAAGCCATCCACCTTGTTCTTGAGCATCTCCAGAGATGGGGCACCCACAGTTTCTCTTGGGCAGCTTGTGCCAGGGTCTCACCACCCTCATCAGCATCTCTTTGGGCAGAGCATCCCACTTGGAGGATTAACAGGAACAAGGGACGTAGTCAGGTCTTCTCCCTCTTCCATAAATTAAGATGGAATATATATGGCTCAAGGACTGGGTTCCATGTCATAAACCAGCAGCCTACAACCAGACTTGAGGCTTTTCTCATCTTTCCTCCCCAGACTACTCACTTTCCACCCAGCTCTTCCTTTCCACTCGTCCTCAGTAATGTGGAAGAGAGGGAAACAGCCCAAGTCCTGCAGGATGGAGGGGGCTCGGGGAAAGTCAAGGAGATCCATCCATGTCCTGAAGTGACAAAGCACCTCCAGGGCAACCACGTGCCTTCCTTCATAGCCAGACTGGACGGGGACTGAAGTATCTGGGCCTCAAGTGCAAAAATTTGAAGTCCAAGTAAATCCCTAAGCTCTCCCCAGGGATGTGAAGTCCTCCCTGCCAGTAACACATCCTACACAGGCTGCCCAGGGAGGTGGTGGGGTAACCATCTCTGGGGGGGGTGTTCCACAACTGTGGGGACGTGGCACTGAGGGATGTGGTCAGTGGGCATGGCGGGGTGGGTTGGGGTTGAACTTGGGGATTCTGAGAAGTCTTTTCCAACCTGAATGATCCTACGATTCTGTGATTCACGGGCTTTCAGTTCTGCTCATTGTTTTGGAAAAAGCACGCGAGCACCACGGGGCAAGGAAAGAGAAACCACTCTATGAAAAAACCCGAGCAATGCATCTCATCTTCCACGTCCCTTACTGTCTGCCTAAATTCAGGCTTCCCCCTGGCCATGCCCTGTTATTTAGAACAACCCAAATCCTTCAGATGCCTCTGCACGGGCGCCTGTGGCCGTGGCCATGGTGCTATCTGAATCAGATGGCAACGCCGGAGCAAAACTGTCATTTTTTTCCACAGTTAAATTAGAGGAGAGGGGCAGCTGCAGTGTAAGCCAATCTCAACAGCGAGGGCTGCGGGCTCTCATACCAGCCAGGCCATTAGCTATATTATTAGGCAGCACAATTAAGGCTCAGGAATCTGTGCCTGTGGGACTCCAGCTGGAAGACTCCTCCACGCCCCAACCCCAAGCGCGGCGGGGAAGCGGGCCGGGCTGCCAGGCCTCCCCACGCCCCGACACATGAGCTGCCCTTTGAAGGGCTGACGTTTCTCATGGGGGATGGCGTTTTGAAGCCGAGAGCGGCCTATTGGATTTCATGGGGATGCTTTCCAACTTTTTTTTTCTCTGTGGAATGGCAGAGGATTAAGTATCCTCTCCGAATCTGATGCGCTTTCCCACTCACATCTGGCCTCCCGTGACCAGATGTTGGAAATCCTCCTCCACGCTCAGCATCTGCTGGAACTGGATGATCCTTAAGGTCCCTTCCAACCTCAGCTGTTCTATGACTGTACGACCTGACCCAGGCCCCGACCTCTTTCCAACCCCACCGAGCCTCTCTACCTGCACCAGTTTGTCAATGCCAAGGGCCCGGTCCAGCTCAGCCAGCTCCGTCTCATCCTTGCCGCTCAGGAAGGACACGAGCTGCTCCAGCAGTGCCTTCTCATCGTTGCGGCCCTCCGGGGTGGTGGGAGGACACAGGAGCTCGTCCAGCTGCGAGGTGATGCAGGGGCTGCGGAGACAAAAGCCCGAGGAGACACGTGTGAAGGGCTGTCAAAGCAGCAGCGGGGCTGAGCCATAGAAAATCCTGCTCTGCACTGCGTCGTTGGCCTCCCACCCACGACCCCGCTGCCAGGATGAAATCCCATGGGGAATGGAGCCAGCGCTGTGCTTCAGTGGGGTTCTGGAGGACCGCTTGGTGCTTTTGCTCTGCAGGAGTTACAGGCAGGGCGGCGGGAGGCAGAGCACAACGTGAGCAGGGAGCGGAGCGGGAGGTTGGGAAGGCGCTGGGACAGCTGGAAAAGAAACAGCTGAAGGCAGAGGGAACCTTTTAGTTGCAAAAAGAAGATTTCTGACAAGCTCGCTCGATATTCTTTGGGAATAAGATTAATATGTAATGAGAGACATTCCAATGACGTGACTAATTGGAGTCAATCGGATTTGCCGGGTCTGACACAATGAAGGGAGCCATGGCACATCACGCTCACAGAGAGACACAAAGGAGAGAACTGGAGCATGCCAGCAGTTCCCAAGCAGCAGACATGTTTATCCTTTTAGCTCCAGATGAGGACCAGATGTACAGTAAGGAACTGAAGCCAATGGGACCAAGAATGCTGCAGCCAACACACGCAGTTTAATCCAGGGAAAGAAATACCGGGCGCTGGGACTTCTTACATTACAGAGCAGGGGCAGAGAGGGAAGCAGGGAGATGGAGGTGAAAAGCAGGGCTGGTTTCCTGCGGCCCAGGTCCCTGCTACTGGCTGCTTTGTACTGAACCACTCAGAGGGCCAAAGCCAAAGATGAGAGCTGGCTGCTCAAAGCCATCAATCCTGCAGAGAAAGTGGGGACAAAGTTTTTCTCTGCATTAACAGGCAATGAGAGGATGAATGCAGGCTGGCAATTTCTCTTCATCTCACCACAGACCTCTGCGTGGATGGTTTATAAGGAGACCGTGGGACAGTACAACCCTTAGATAGGAAATAAACCTCCTAAAGTGAGCACCATGTGTGCAGCACCCCATGCAGATCAGCCCCATGCTGGCAGGTGGGAGGAATTTGGTGTCAAATGCTGCTTGAAGTCCCATAAAACATCTCCCTGGCATGGCTGCCAAAGGCCTCCTGCCCAGCACAGATGTCCTGGACACCAAAGGCATCTCTGCTGGCACAACATGCCAGTGCTGTGGCCATCAAGCCAGGCCCTGGGTTACATTTCTTGATCTTGGGGGATTAGAGCAAGATGTGTGAGAACCACCTGCAGCACCCTGGATGTAGTTCAAGGTGCCTTGGACCTGGACCACAGTGCCTCTACCACTCTTCCATCAATGACACAGAGCACTTAGGCTCAGAGCACAGAAGGGGGCATGTTGTAACCATCCCACTTGATGAAGAATTGAAGATCCAAACGGGTTGGGGACAGGGAGAACTTGCAAGGAAGCTCCCCTTGGCCAGGCGGGTCAGCTCACTGAGCAAGGCAGGAGCTCTGGTGATGGATACATACCTTGCAGCTGGAAAACCTTCACAACCCCTAAAGCAAAAGCTCTGCTGGTAACTCAGTTAAGAGAGGAGTTGCTCTGCAGCTGGAGCCCAATTGAAGGCACACGATGCAGAACAATCTGTGCATGTTATCAGTGCAGTTTATGGCTGTGCCACTAGATGGAACTGCACAGATCCCAGCCAAGCCTCTGACTTCAGACTTCCTCTCCGGCTTTATAGAGGAATCTGCTCTCTTCAATTTCTCTGCCGTTGCTTTTCAAGTCTGTTGTACCAAAGCAGAGCCTGAAGACCTCTGCAAGGGCTGACAAATCCCTTCCTTGTGATGAAGCAAGTTCTGGAAGGGGATGCTGAGAAGCAAGCCTTACCTACAACACAGTGGCTGCTTTTTGCTCTGGGGGACTCAAAACGCTGCTCCAAAGACTGCCAAGGCAGCTCTCACCTATGGAGCTCCATCAGACATAAGGCTGCTGAAGTTATTGCAGGGAAGTGAGGTGGGAAGTGAACTGGGCACCAGCAAGGCTGCCTGGCTCCGTGTTTGGAGCACAGGGCTGCTGAGTAAGGTAAGGTCATTTTCCCCTGATAAAGCAAGTGAAGCAGCATTTTAAGGAACATTTGTAGCCAAAAATCAAGATTGATTTTTAGAACTGCTCTGGCCTTTGCTGGATATGCCCCACAGATCTCACACCGACGACGAAACTGCACCACCACTGAGATGTAAAGGGGAAGCTGCTTCCTTGCAGCAAGGACTCGAGCTGATGTAAATGCTCTTCATTTAAACAGGGATTGGATTTATCTCCCAGTAATTTCAAGCAATGCGAGGCTGAGTCTTTCCAGCCAAAATCCAAGATCCATGTGCAGCAGCAGAGACCACTTAGGCAATTCTTTTCTCGGGCTGAGTGAAGAGTTTTTAGAAATGAGTCCAAACTTAGCTCCTAGAAGAAGATGTCTGGCTCTTGCCTTGCTCAAATACAATTCTTACACGTTCGCTCTTCGTGGCAGGAAAACAGAAGCTTTGCTTATCTGTGAAGGATTTAATTAGCAACCCATGGATGGATTTTGGCAGCGAGGGCCGCAAAAGGATCCTCCCAGAGCTCATCATCTATCTAACAGGTACCTGACCTCTGAGCATGGGGAAGGACTCAGCCTCTGTCCACAGTGCCAATGCTGATGCCTTGGAGAGCTCCCCTGTGACCTCTGTATGGCACCAAGCAGAGAGCACCACCAGCAGGGCTCCCTGCCCTCCTCACCTCCAGCCTCAAAATAATTGACCTCCAGGCTCCTGCAATAGCATTGCTATGGCATTTAGAGCCAAGGAATGATGTTGCATGCTGAGGTGATGGCGCCTTGGCTGCTCTGCTGGGCAAGGACCTAAAGAGGACCTTTCAGCTGAAGCCAAGCAAATGGGGACAGCGAAGAGCAGCAGTGACGTGAAGACACAAAACTGTCCCGTGGCTCTCGTGATGCCGCTGCTGACCCCAGAAAGAGAAATGTGGGAGAATTTTAGCTGCAGTATTGGTTAGTGAGGACTTTCAATGTGGATATATGGGATTAACTGGGTCTGGACCAAGAATTGATGGTGCACGCCCTGTTTACAGAGGCAGAAATTGCTAGAGCATCCCAGAGTCCTGCTGGGTGAGATGAGGAAGCCACCGAGCTGCAGTACTTACTCTTCAGGTTTACTCAGCGTGCTTCGGTTCATGGGTGCCATGCTGTTATCTGTCCATGGGATCTGCTCACCCATGCCTGGCTGCCCAAACTGGTGATCTGGCACCCCCATCTCCAGCTCTGACATCCCTGTGGGTAGAAGAGGGGTCGGGGGAGGAAGCGTTAGCGTGCCAAGGGGACTCAGGCACCCTAGGGGATGTGCAGAGAGATGCTGGGAGTGGGCAAAACCACAGCCAAGGTGCCATGCCCATGCCCAAGGCACGCTGCCATGAAGGCACTGATCTTTCTGCAGATAAATCCTGTTAGAGATAACATGCAAAAAATTCAGAGCTTGGTCTCATACTCAAACCTGAAGGATGAGCCTGGGCTTTGAGTGAACACCTGTGTGGCTGCTCCACCAAATCTGTGTGTCCTCAAAATGTACCAACGCTACGACCCCATCTCAGTTCCCCTTTCCTGAACATTCCCAGCAAGTTTCTCAAAATCTAGTCAAGTCAGAGGGCTCATTCTTGAAGGCCAGCTGTTAGCACTGGAGATTTTAGTTGAAAAAATAGCACACGCCCATTAGCATCTTCAGACTCTATTTTGGAGAAAAGTTGATTTGTGCAGGGAAAGGAGCCAATGCAATTAGATTAAGTTTAGCACAACTTGGAGCCTGAGCACAGGACAGGGAGATTTATGTGGATGGAGACTTTACATCATCCAACTCGAAATAGAATCACAGAGTCACAGAAGCAATTAAGGCTGGAAAAGACCTCTAAGATCACCCAGTCCAACCCCAAGCCATCCTCACTGTGCCCACTGACCACGTCCCCAAGTGCCACATCTCCACTGTTTTTAGAACCTTCAGAAGATCAGAGAACACCTTGGCTAAGTTGGCCATGTAGCCCCACACAGATGGACATAAGGGATAAGTCCACTTCTGGCCAGGTTGGGATTGCTGCTTCAGGACATGTCATTGGTGGCCAATCCCATGGGTTTGCAGGGGACCAAGGATGCGAATCTGTATTTTGTTTTTTTAACTTCACCAAGCTCTGTTGTGATATTTTTTTTTTTCCCCAATAAAATACAGCACTGCAGAGAACTGAGGTGCCACCAGCACAGCTTCCAACATCCTAACAGAACAGAAATCCCAGACACAGCTCAGGGAGGGCAAAGGAACAGGAGGCAGGACCTGGTGACTTGGCAGCACATCCAGAATGGGGAACTGCCCTATTTGGGGGCAAACCCAGCAGTGCTTGGTGTATTCCCTGTTGTCCCAAGGTATCCCCAGCTCCAGGCAATGACAGCTCCCAGACTGAGCTTGTTTTGTGGGTTTTACACCAAAACACAAGAACCCTAAGCTTGCTCTTGGATGGAAGCAAGGAGAGGTGTTCCTTTACTTCTTGAAATGTCTTGAAAAAAGCCTTAAGGTTGCTTGGCAACAGGCAGATAAAAGCAGTGGCAGCAGTAGCTCCAGTGGGGCCGGCTCCACGCAGCCGCAGTGCAGAGCTCCAAGCCTTCCCTGCTTGCCTGACAACAGTTCCCAGTTCTGTTTCTGCTGAAAACTGCAGTTTTTTCTCAATCAAAGCATCAGCCTGCAGCTGCTCATGGTCATGAAGACGGGTGTCATGCTGCAGCTGCACAACGGCCTCCAGAGGAGGGAAGGTCATGGGTGGGACCCTGAAGCTGGTGCTGGGCTGATGCTGGGCACTGCTTGGAACGGGTAGGAAAACTGAGTGCTGAGCAGCTCAGCAGGTTGTGAGCACTGGGAAAAGAGGGGATCTGTTGAAGGAGGAAAGCTCAGATGGGGAAATGCAGAGCATGGGCACAAAGAACAAGGTGAAAATTTGGGGCCAGTGTGCTCTCGTGCATCTTGCACAGACATGGGGCCATCTGAGCAACAAAGGGAGATGCCCTCTGTGCAACACATGAAACTCTTTGGAAAGAGAAGCTGCCAGAGGGAGAAGGTCAATGTCATAACAGTGTGTCGGGGTGTGTGTCCTCCCAGTTTAGTGGTCAGGGCAAGAGCTGTTGCTTACAGGTGAGCAGTGACACATGCAGGATGCAGGATGCCAGGGGACAGCAGCTCAGTCCCATCCCACACCATCCTTGCTACCACACTGGAGGAGCAGAGCTTCTGTGAGGTCCCTCTTCCAGTGTTGCTCAGTGCTAAATCCTTGAGGTGAGCCCCTTGTTCCTGCAGCCATATCAGCACAGCTGAGCTGTTGGGTGGACATGGCCATATGGTGCATATCACTGTCACCCCAAAGCAGCACAGGCAGTCCAGGCTTCATGGAAATCTATTTTGACTTTAGTATGGCCCTTATTCAGAGGGCAGGGAGGCCCTGGCACAGGCTGCATACGGAAGCTGTGTTGCCCCATCCCTGGCAGTAACCAAAGCTAGGCTGCAAGGGGCTCTGTGCAACCAGCCCATGGCAGGGCTTGGAACTAAGTGGGCTTTGAGACCTCTTTCAACCCAAACCAAGACACCTGAGCCACTGGCTTGCTTCATGTAGCTGGAAAGAGGAGGAAGGTTTGGGTTTGCATTCTTGAGATGTCAGAGGGGCTCTTCTCTAAATAGGGGTGGAGACGCTCTGTCATTCTTTCTCTCATGGCATTTTTTGACTTTTTAGAAAGAAAAGGTGGACAGGAGGCATATTTAAGCCCAGTTCTGCCACCCTGCACTTCTTCAGCACCCACAAGCATGAACACAGAGTCACAGAGTCATTCAGCTTGGACAAGACCTCTCAGATCTCAAGCCCAACCCCAGCCCACCACACCGTGCCCACTGCCCACACTTCTCAGTGCCACATCCCCACAGTTCTGGAACACCTCCAGGGATGCTGACCCCACCATCTCCCTGGGCAGCTGTGCCACTGCAGCACTGCTCTATAAGAGAAGAAATGTCTCCTAATTCAACCTGAACCTCTCCTAGTCCTGCTCGAGGCCATCACCTCTCAAGACTTCCCCTTGGCTTTCCCTGTTTGTAACAGGGAGACCTGGCCCAAAAAAGCCCTCCAAGAGAAAGCTTTCCCACCATATCCCCCTTCTGCTGTCACAGCTGGCTGAGCGGAGCAGGTGCCCATGGCAGCACATACCTGTGTCAGGTGGGAAGGGGTTTGGTCCCGGCACAGTGCCCCTGCCCTGCTCGGCCGGCGCTCGGGGCCGCGGGCTGCTGCCGTTGGTTGCGGGGAAAGCAACTGGCCTCAGCTGAGCTGGCTCCAGTGGGTCACAGAACTCAAAGGGGGCACGAGCTGCCTGCATGCCCTGCCCGCTGCTGATAGCTGAGTTTGAAAAACAAAGATAAACATGTATATGCAGAAATTCAGATCTCTCCCCACGAGCTCATCGCAACATCACCCGCGGATGCAGTGCCCCGCCAGGAAGCTGACACTGGGTACTATGGGTTAAGGGAGAAGGCTTGCATCTATAAGATGTATATAAATAGGTTTTATACAACAGTAGAAGAGAGGATGAGAACCAATTCCTTCAGAGTGAACAGGGATTCCTCTCAGGGGAGTGGCAGTAGTACAAGTGAAGCTCCTCGATGCTGCCTGCGTGCACTCCAGCTATGTTCTGCTGGGCACTGCTGGCTTTAAATCAATTAAAACCGCATGGGAAAACGATGCTGTTAAGCCTCGCATCGTTACAACTCTCATTTGCATGGATTTTCACAAGTTCAGCTGCAGCTTGCCAGCAGGGAGCACGTAGCAAATGCTTCTGTTCACTCTCAGACCTTCTTTTCTGTATTTCTGCTGGGCAGTGATGCAGGGGATGGAATAAACTGTAGCTGTGCATCAGGAAAAACCACACATGGGACAAAGCCCTGTGGGACCTGTCCCGGCTACTGTGCTCATGCTGGGGCTGGCAGAGGACTAAAGGGGACCAGTGAGGGTGGCACAGGGCTGCTGATCAGGACAGGCACATGGCATGGGCTCCAGACAACAGCACTGTAACTTGGAGGCATTTGGACAGCCAAGTTTATGCTCTGCTTGTAAAAGCCTGCTGGCCCTGTTTGCTGCTCACACTCCAGCACGGGGAAGCCAAGGAGCCACAGCTGGAGCCCTGGCTTTCTCACTTGCTTGTGGGCTCCTTCAGGGGTTCTTTCAGGAGCAGGTGAGAGTGCCTCACTTTGGAGAAAAAGCAGGGTGTTTTCTGCAATTTTAACCCCTCCCTATCCGTTCTGACACTAAACCTGGGTGCACTCAGTCCCATCACACTGTTTCAAAGTGACAGCAATGCTTCCAAACCTCCATTTCCAGAGGTCAAACTGCTCAATCTGGAGGGAACCCGAATCCCCCTTGCATTCTCTGTGCTCCCAACCCCTGAGGCCCCATGTGGGGACAAATCCCAGGGCTGACACCTACGGTTGAGGCCGGCGGGGGCTCTGGGGGCAGTGCTGGGCTGCAGGGGGGCTGCCAGCATTTCGGGTTTGACAGCCACGCCGCTCTCACTCCTCTCCGGCCCACACAAGCCTGGCAGCTGGGCAGCTTTCTCCAGTGATGGCAGGAGTTGGTCCAGCTGCTCCAGTTCGGCAGCAAACTGAGGAAGGAAAGGAGAGCAGAGGTTGGTGAGTTTGATTCCTTTGCAGCAATACAAAAGTGAACTCCGCAGGAAAGGATCAGCCCCAAATCACAGAAATGGGCACCGATGAAGCTTCTAAATCAAAACCACTCCAGAGTGGGTGGTGGCACTGGGATGGAATTAAGCAATGCTGGGATAATCCCTGGGCAATCCCAGATGAATGCATATAGAACCATAAAATCATTCATGTTGGAAGAGGCCTTGAAGATCCTCAAGCCCTACTCCAACCCATCCCACCGTGCCCACTGGCCACATCCCTCAGTGCTGCATCCCCATGGTTCCTGAACACCTCCAGGGACGGTGACCCCACCACCTCCCTGGGCAGCTACAAGGATGTCCCCCAGGAGCCAGGTTCCCCACCATTGAGCCCCATTCATGCCTGCAGCCCATATGCTGCAATGAGCAGCATTATGAACAGCTCCACCAACACAGCCAAATAAAACCAATAGTGATTTCAAACATGAGATCACAAAATTGCAGAATTATAGAATGGCCTGGGTTGAAAAGGCCCACAATGCTCATCCAGTTCCAACCCCCTGCTGTGTGCAGGTCGCCAACCAGCAGACCAGGCTGCCCAGGGCCACATCCAGCCTGGCCTTGAATGCCTGCAGGGATGGGGCATCCACAGCCTCCTTGGGCAACCTGTTCCACTGCCTCACCACCCTCTGGGGGAAAAACTTGCTCCTCAGATCCAACCTAAACCTCCCCTGTCTCAGTTTAAAACCATTCCCCCTTGATAATTTGCTTTGCTAATATACATATGGTCATACTGAAATGAGAAGAATAAAAAATGGTTCACTCCAGGAGAAATGAATTAAGAGAACAACTGCCCCAAAGTGCACTCCTGTGCCTGCTTGGGGCACACAGTTACCTTGATGGAAAGGAAAATGACATCCAGCTCCTTCAGCCCTCATCAAGGCTGGGAGCAGATGAGCAGATGTCTAGCCCAAAGACTGAAGTAAATAGGAAAGGTGATGGGGAAGGGATTTGTGCTGGTGGATGTAACAACAACAGGTAGGGATTTAAGGGTCCAAGATAAATGAGCTTTGGCAAACAAGAAAAATATCTGAAGAGAAGTCCAATATTTCAAAATTTAAGGGCATTTTGTGTTTCCAGAAGAGCTACCCTTCAGTGTTTGGGAAGGTTAGGCCACTCACCATAGACAGACAACCTGAAAGTGCACTGAAAACCTTTGTGTATGATGGAGGGCTTAAGGGTTACTGCTCTCCACGGGTCCAAAATGAAAGGAGCCATCTCCAGATCTAAGTGTGGCGAGAAAAACTGCGGAAGGCAGCTCTGTCTGCTTGCATTACTTCTCGCTTTTTCTCCCTCTTTCTGAATAAGGACAAAAAAAAACCCACCCAATTTTCTCAAGCAAAGGGATCACAAAGGAGGAATGCTGTTGGATCCTGGAGGGGCTGAGCCCACCCAGGCACCTCTGACATCCCCACCAATGTCACATTTCTGTCCTGACCTTGTGCAGGGCCCTGTCCCCATCCCCACTGCCTGTACTGCAGGAATGAACTGGGGCTGTTAACACACAAGACAGTGGTTCTTTTCTTATTTACAGTGGCATTTTGAGAATTAAATGATGTTTAGGCAACACTGATGATGAGCAGCGTAATGTGAGCAGCAGGCATTGATGGCAGAGATTTATAATGCAGTACTCAGGGCTGTGTCCTCCTGTGCACGCCTTCTATCCGACCCTAACCCAGAGCCCTGCAGTGAAGGGTATCCTCGCACACTTGGGCATAACTGATGCCCTCAAGCAGGGAAATTATTGCTTCCCTTACAATGGATGAGATGAATGCAATTAAACAGCAGCCCATGGTGCCCTCTAAGTGATGCAGGACCACGCCGGCACCTCTCCACTTGGATGCCCTTCTTGAGGCATCCTTCCTCCAGCAACAACAGCAAGCAGAAGGCTGGGAAACCAAATGGCACAACTGCAAACTGGGGGAAGGGGAGGGAGAGAAGACAAAGCAGAGAGCTGGGGGTTTGGGAGAGCTGGCACAGAGCGGAGCTGCAGTCAGAGCTGAGCATCCCGAGCATCCTTTTCTTTCCTGGAAGAGATCCTGGAGGAGCACAGGGCATCTTGCAGCAAAAGGAAGCGAGGTTGTGTTCTCAGAAATGAGCACAAGGATGAGTTGGAAAGAAAATAATTATGTGAGGTGAGTGGCAAGCTGCAGCGTGCCCCACCATTACGTCGCCCTAATTGATATTTCAATAGAAACATGAAGAAAAAGTCCGAGGAAAGTGCTTGGTTTTATTTGCAATAGCAGCTCCTCTCCCCATGGCTCTCTGAAGCAATCCAGCTAGCAGAAATCACGTGGCACTGAGCTCTGTCCTCGGATGCTGAGCAGTTATGGGCTGTTTACTCCTCTGAACACACAAGTGAAGGCTCCACAACCCTGCTCCTGCCACCGTTGTTAACTCTTAGGAGCACTTCTGGTCCCATACATAGGTTTGCTATTCTCCAGCTGTTTGGGGAGAGATACTTGGAAATAAAAATCCATGGGCAAGGCTAAAAACATGACCTTGCTTCCAACAGCAAAGCAGAGGGGCTCACAACCACAGCCAGGCTCCAAGTTCTCCAAAGCTGAGCATCCCAAAACTGGAAGGCAGCCAGCTCCCTTCCAAGACAGGCACACCCTGACTTGGGTCTTGCCAACATAGAGGCAATTCATGGAACCAGAGAACCGTTCTGGTTGAAAAAGACCTCTGAGATCCCCAAGCCCAACCCCAGCCCATCCCACCATGCTCACTGACCGCATCCTTCAGTGCCACATCTCCATGTTCCCTGAGCACCTCCAGGGCTGGTGTCCCCACCATATCCCTGGGAAGCCAACCCAACTCGTTCCATCATTCTATGATCTCAGCAAGAGGTAAAGAGTGAGATTCCCACTCGGCTGCAAGATAACTGACCACAGCTCCCAAGAGAACTGAGCCCTTAACCCTATTAAGAGACTCATTGCGTGTTGCCATTGGAGCCTTTGGGAGCTCGCTGTTATTCACACCGCACCTCTCAGCCCCATTTGACACAGTCAGTAAGCAGGCTATCAGCCCCGCTCTGAATGTCAGCCTCTCTGTTCTCTTTGCTTAAAAAGGATTAAGCAGCCTTATCCATGTTACCATCTCCCCTGGCTTTCAAAAATAAGAAATCTCTTCTATTCATAGCTGCATGTAATGAATATTTATACACTCAAATCTCTATTGCGGAGATCTGTCACTGGATTATTCAATTTAATAATACTTTTAGGATAACTAAAAGGCCTGTATAATTGCTAATCTCAGCCAACAAGAGGGCAACAGATTGAGAATTCCCAGGGACACGAGCCCTGAATGTGCCCAGAGATGCAGAATTAAGAGCCCTTTCACTTGGCAAGGCTCACACAGCCCCCTCCCCATTCAGGCCTGCCACCTGCAGCAAGCAGCACCGCTCCTTTCCCATTCTTATGCAGCTCGGGAAAGCTTCTTTCTTCCTCTCTCAGCATTGCCTTGAAGCTCTGAGTTACCAAAACGTGGAAGCACCTTTAAGGTTGGGAAGGACCAAGAAGATCACTGAGTCCAACCCCAGCCCACCCCACCATGCCCACTGCCCACGTCCCTCAGTGCCACATCCCCATGGTTCTCAAACACCTCCAGGTTTGGTGACCCCACCACCTCCTTAGGCAGCTGTGCCACTGCACCACTGCTCTTTATGTGGAGAAATGTTTCCTAACATCCAACCAGAACCTCCCCTGGCACAACCTGAGGCCATCACCACCCATCCTATCACTGTCATCCAAGGGCAAAGGCTGACCGCAATTCACTACAGTCTCCTTTCAGGAGTTGTAGAGAATGGTACAGGTCTCCCCTGAGCTCCTCTACTCCAAACTGACCCATCCCAGTGCCCTCAGCTGCTCCCTATATCACTTGTGCTGCAGACCCCTCACAGCTTCACTGCCCTTCTCTGGACACTCCGATGCCTCAGTGTCTTTCTTGTAGTGAGGGGCCCGACACTGAACACTGCACTGGAGGTGCAGCCCCACTAGAACTGAGTACAGGGGATGATCACCTGCACGGAATCATAGAAGCATAGAATCACAAGGTTGGAAACGACCTACAAGATCATCTAGTCCAACCGTCCTCCCATTACCATTGCTATCACAAGCTACTAAACCGTATCTCATAGCTCCTCATCCAGACAACTCTGCACTCCGCCCCATGGCTGTAGCCTCAGCCCAGCTATCCAGCCTGGCCAGGTCCCTCTGTGGGGCCTGCCCCCCAACCTCCTCATCTGCAAACATATTGAGGGTGCACTCAATGCCGTCATCCAGGTTATCAATAAGAATACTAAACAGGAAGGCCCCAGTACCAACCTCTGGGGAACACCACTTGTGATCAGCCACCAGTTGGACTGGTGTTTGGAATTCATTCACCATCACTCTCTGGGCCCAGCCCTACAGCCAGTTTTTTACCCAGTGAAGAGTACAGCTGTCCCAGCCACGGGCTGCAGCTTCTCCAGGAGAATACTGTGGGAGACTGAGTCAAACACTTTATGAAAGTCTGTGCAGATTACATCCACAGCCTTTTCTTCATCCACCACACAGGCCATCCGGCCATAGAAGGTTGGTCAAGCAGGACCTGCCTTTCACGAACCCATGCTGGCTGGATCTCATTCCATGATTGCACTCAAGATGATCTGCAACAGCCCAGTCAACAGAGGGTAACAGCAGTGCTAGAGAAGGCGGCACCAGTAGGGAAGGCAGCACCACACCTGCTGGCAGAGCAATGGAGCAAAACACCAAAAAGCCTTTCAGATGGTGCTGACCCCAAAAGCAGCAGACTCACCTGGCCTTGTGACTCCAGCTTGACCTCCTCTGTGGCCGGCGGCTTGGCCAGCGGCACCGGGGTGGTGTTGCAGGGCTCCATCTGCTCTGTCTTCTCCACCTTCACCTTCACGTCATCCAGGCTGAGGGCTGGGGCGGCGGCGAGCTCCTTCTCGTCCTTATCAAGCAGGTAGCGCAGGAGCTGGTGATCCTTGACATCTTTCTTTTTCATCGCATCCGACTCCAGCTTGATGTCCGGGGTGCCCGGCAGCTGGCTCGGGGCTGTGGGGGTGGTGGCAGGGTTGGGGACGTTATCCTTTTTGTCATGCTCCATGGCCAAGGTGGTGATGTCAGAAGGGCTGCCCTCCTGAAGGAGTCTATGCAAAATCTTGTGCCGCTCGGTCAGCGAGCTATGGGAGGAGGGACAGGTGCTGCTCGGCGGGTTGCCGGCACCCAGTGTGCTCGTGGTGCCCGCACAGGCCAATGAATCCTTGCAGCTCGTGTCCGCATCCACGTGCCGAAGCTGCTGCTCGGCCGTGCTGGCCAGCAGCTGGACCAGCTTGTGGCTGGTGGATTGGGAGCACTTGCTCTCCCCCTCCGTGAGCCTCTCGCTGGCATGCAGCACACCCGAGTCCAGCGGTTTGCCGTCGCCTGCACCGCCATCAGACTGGATCATCTCACTCAGGATGGAGGCGATCTCCTTGCTGTCCTTGGACTCCGCTTTCATGGGCTGCATGCCGAGGCGGCCGGGCGAACTCTGGGAGCCCAGCTGTCTCAGCACAGGGGGTGGCGTGGAGTAGCCCACCGGTGTGCTGGCACCTTCGCTAAGCCCCTGCAAAGAGTTCATGGGAGCGGTGGGAAAGGACCTGGAGCCGCCGCCGCCGCCGCCACCGTTGCCGCCCCCGCCGCTGTTGGCCATGCCCACGGGGGAGTGCATGGTGGGCATGGTGGGGGAGAAGGGATTGCTGGGTCCCCGGGGCCGGGGGACCAGTCCTGGGCTGACCCGGTGCCTAGGAGACATGAATTGTGGCGGGGTGATCCCTGGGCTGTTCATGGGGGAGCTATTGAGGTTTAAATTGTGGTTACTGTTCGGGGGACCGGCTTGTCCCTGGCTTAAGGCAACATTGGCTCCTATCTGGTTCCCAGGAGAACAGCCGAAGGTCGTTTGGCTGGTGCTGGAGTTGCTGCTGTGGAGGCCGGCACCGGGCTGCTGGTTGCCAGGGGTGGCCAGCATGCTGCCATTGGAGGGAGGGATGGAGGGCGGCAGGGCCATGCCTTGCCCTGGAGAGATGTTGGGGTTCAGAGAGGGGCTGACCCGTGGAAGGGCCATGGCTGAGTTAGTGTTCTCCTGGGAGGACAGCATGCCGTGATCCCTGCCGGAGACAAAAGGGAAACGGAGAGACAAGTGAGGCTTCTCCCAAACTTTTGGTATTCTCCAAACAGCTCCTGCCACCCTTTCATTCTGCGGAGATCTGAAGCTTGAAGAACGGCAGCCTGCAAGCTCCAGCTCTGTTTCAGTAGTGGGGGAGGAGTGCAGCAGCTTCATCACCTCTCCAGAAAGGGGACACAACCTCCTCTGGGTGCTGTGCTCCCACGTGGCCAGAAGACTCCACTCAGAGAGCATTCCCACCCACCCCATCCTCCCCATGTTTCTCCCGCACAGCCCAGGCCCACAGACTCACCTCACCCTGTTCTGCAAGTTCTCCGGAGCCTCTCCCTCCCCAGATATTTTGCCTAAGTTCTCTGGGCAAGGCAGAAATCTCAAGCACGTCTATAAAGCCCCACCTGCACGCCCCGTGCTCTTTGCCAAATGGCAATCATCAATAAAATGCAACAGAGCTGCTTTATGCTGGTGTTCAGACCTGGATCCCTCATGGTCTGGTATTAAATGTGGAGGTTGGTGGCCCTGCATGTGGCAGAGGGGTTGGAGCTTCCTGATCTTTGAGGTCCCTTCCAACCCGGGCCACTCTGTGATTCCGTGATTCTGTGATCACATCTCCAAACAACACTATGAGCCATGGTTGGAACGGGCTGGGGATGGGCTCCTCGATTCCTGAATCACATGCAGGCATGGTACCAACCAACCTCAGCACGGCTCTGCAGCAGCGGTACAGGAACGTACCTGTCAATGATGTGGATGCCCATGATGAAGGGCTGCACTTCTGGGCTGGAGGGGTAGCAGAGCTTGCACTTGGTGTGGGCGCTGAGCACCGTCCCGTCGCTCAGGGTGAATCGATAAGATGGGCTGAAGGCTGTGCCACGTGTCATCACTAAAGGGGACAACCAAAAACACAGGGATACCTTCAGCAACAACAGCAGAACAGCAGTGTAATGCCCAAATCTGGCCCATGGAGATGTGCCTCAATTCTGTATTTCCCACATGGTACCCAAAGGGAACCCCATAGCTGGCCCAGCTCTGCTGCTCTGCAGCTGAAGGAGCTCCTCCAGCGATGCTCAGCTGCTTCACCTCACCCTCCAGTGCTCTGCAATTACTATTGCAGTGTTTGTTTTCCCAGAAAGCACTTAGCCAGCAACAAGGGCAATGCATCAACTTGGTATTGCAGCTACTGCTGCTCAGCACGAGAGGGAGAGAGCCGGTGAGAGGAGCTTGTTACCTTCTTGAAAGAGTTGCTTGGCATAAGATGGCTCTCTGCCCTGAGGCTGGAAGAAAGCATAGATGCATTTCCGCACTAAATCTTCCCAACCCGTCCTGCCGGCAGCTCTCAGGGAGCTGGTGTCGATGGAGATGATTTTACCTGGGTGGAGAGAGGAGAGCCACGTTACTCAGGCACAGCAGAACGTGCACTCAGTGTATGCTCCTGCACAAAGAGCTCTTTGGTGTCAGGAAAAGCAGGCAGCCATGCAAAGCGGATATTACAGCAATGGAGAGGTAGCAAAGAGCCTGGATGCGCTCATTAAGGATTCACAGGTTGCAGGGAAGTCCATGGTGGTGATTAACTGTCAGAAAGAAGGTCACCAGACTGCCTCAGTAAAGAAGAAAGCAATATTTGGATGAGAGCAACCCCAAATCTGAATGGTGACAATTGCTTCATTCCCATTGATCAGCAACCTCAGTATCCCCTGAAATCAAATGGAGGGGAGAGTGGCTGCATGTGTGATACGTTTGATCAGTCCTGCACTCCCCTTCGAGAACCACAAGTGCAGTTTTCCTTCTGCTGGCTGAGGAAACCACCAAATCCAGCACTTGCTGAATGGGCATTCAGCATTCAGCACCCTGCCCAAAGCCTTGGGAGAGTGCAAGGACTTGTTGTGACGGAGGAGATGAGATGCACCCTTTGAGATGCACACCACAAGGACAGCTCAGCAAGGATGCTGCTGGCCAGGAGGAGCCCCAACAGCCCCAGCAGCATTGCATGGACATTACCTGTGGTGTCTTGCTTGGTCACGAAGGATTCGGAAGGGGTGACAGCTGCTGGTCGAGGTAACCTTCTCGCAATGCATATCAGACAGGACTGGAAATCTGCCAAAGCAGAAGGAGAAGGGACTAGAAGAATGAGAAAGTCACACGTTACAGCCTCCGCGTGCAATTCAGAATGTTAATTAAAATAACTCTGCGGTGCTCGACAGCCACGTCCTGCCCTGGAAGTGTTTACCCCAAGCAGTCCTCCGGCCCTTCAGAGCAAGGAGGCTCTCTGTAAACTATATGAAGTTTGCTGGGAGAGGTTTCCAGTGTTTGGAGAAATTAATTGTAAAGGCTTTTCAGATCTGGCAGTATTGTACAATAAAAGTCAGCGCTAAAAGCCAGCAACTGTCAGCTTCAGGCAAAGTATTTGGTCATAAAATACCATAATTTATTTCTTCCAGTCGTGATCTCCTGTGTAAACCGCAATGGATTAATTCAGCTAATGTGCTGGAAAATAAGAGTTGGTACACAGACATGAGAGCTACGGCATTTGCAGGAAAGCTCTTTCACTCTCCTGCTCCGAGATCTCACACCAGGAAAGCAGCTGCCCTGCTGCCACCAGGGTGACCCACCCCTCCAAAATCCTGCATTTGCTTTGGCCAAAACCATGCCATCAGCACGGTACTGAGCAGCTCCTGGGGCTGGGAATGTTCCCGATGGTCAGGCATCTACTGCACGTGCTATCAATTAGAGTGCAATGACAGCCCGGGCTCACTCAACAGTATCTTCCCTTTGTGGCCTGCTGGGAAAAGGCCATGCAACCAGCAAGCTTTGTCTGGTAATTATAGAATCATAGGGTCATAAAGGTCGGAGAAGACCTCTAAGATCATCAAATACAACCTCTGACCCCTCACCACCGTGCCCACTCATAGAATCATTGAGTCATTATGGCTGGATAAGACTTCCAAGATCAAGTCCAACCACTGACCCATCACCACCGTGCCCACTACAGTATTTCTCTACATGTAATCATAACATCACAAAGGTTGGAAAAGACCATTAAGATCATCAAATCCAACCATTCACCCAACTAAACCACGTCCCTGTGTGCCACATCTATAGCAATCCATGGGATTTCTCTTTCCTTCAGCAACACTGATTGCAAGCTGTGCCAAAAGCTGCCTCTGGAGAGTCACGGAAGCCTTTTCAAAAGTCAGCTTGCCCATTTTTTGGTGAAAATCCTGGAAGATTTCACCTCGTCCCCTTCTCCCCATCCCCTTCCCATTGCAGGGCTGGAGGTGAAGGCTCTGCCCTACCTTCTCCTTCCTCCTTGAACGTCTTGGGCTGCGAAACGGTGAAGCACTGCATCACCTCGTAGCGCTGGCGAGCCTCCTGGTTCTCAGTGCCAGGCTCATCGGGCGGCCGGATCAGCATCCTGCAGCTGAATGTGTGGCTGTTGCGTCGGGTGGCTTCCTGAGGCCAGGGAACTCCATTCACTGAGGTTGGAGGGAGAAAAGAAGAGAAGGGGTGTTACAAGTTGTGACATATTGCAAAGACGAAGCTCCACGGATCAGAGCTCTGATCTTTACTGCAGACCAGAAGCCTGTGCAAGGCTGGACCTGCTGTGCCCACATTGCTGGGTGTTATTAAACCATTGTGAAGCATTAAACCAATCTGAAGCACGGCAGCACAGCAGCTCTCTGCACAACAAGCCTTGGAACAGGATATCCAGACAGCGATGTCAGTGGGATCCCACCTAACCACAGCCAAATTTCCCACCAAACACTGCTATCTGTGAGTGAACTTGCCAAATAACAGGGAAAAAAGCTCTGCTGAATTCAGGCTGGAGGAGAAGCAATGCTGCAGCCTGGGATACCCTCTCTTAAGGGATGGCTGGTAAACCTGCCAAGGACCCCAAGCATGAGTCAGTGATCCCAAAAGAGCAGTAAAAGCCTACAATCCACACGGAGATCAGCATACCAAAGTCACCACACTGCTGTTAATGATGCCGCTTCCATCTCATAGACAGCGAAACTGAGGCAAAGGTGGCTGAGTCACTCCCAGCACCTGGAAGGACTCCTGAATTTTGCCACTGCACTGGAAATGCTGAAATGATGCTCCTAGGGTGGATGCAGCAAGCCAGCCGAGCATGCCATAGAGCTGGATTTTCTCTTTGCTTCTCACTTCTTCCTTCTCATTTCTGAGGCTGACAGAATGGGAAGTCACAGCCACTCTGACTGCAGCGAGGGCTCCTGGTGCTGATCCACCAGGCTAAGGACAAGGGGCTCCAGCCCAAGAGAAGCTTCAGCATGATTTCACAGCGGTGCATCACATTGCAATGAAAACCTTCCCCTGGCTTTCCTCAGAAGTGGTTTAACCACCGTGGCACAGTCAAGGTCTCCCCAGGCACATGTTGGAAGGCTGATGCTGCTAACCCTTTCAACCATCTCTGAGGAGATCCATGTTCAACCCAAGCGATTTTGCCACCAGCAGACTGTGAAGCTCTCCTACAGACTGCTCTGCCAGAAGAGCCAAGGGGCTTGTAACATCCAAGCAAAAGAAACCACACAGCTGCTCCCAGGTAACCTCAGGGAAGAGACAAAGCCTGAAGCTCCACAAGCTCAAATTGATGCGTGCTCATAGATACAGGTGGCTTAAGACATCACTGCACTTACCCAGAGGGAAGACAACTGTGAATTCCAAAGAAAAAAAGGACTTGACTGTTTTTCAGTCAAGCTATTTGGAAAAAGCACGTTTTGACAACAGTGGTTATATCTTCAAAGGTGTCAGTGGATGTGGTGTTACGGTTCAGGGATGCCTGAATTCAGCATTATCCACCCAGGTCAGCAGAGGAGCACCACCTCAGCACAACACCACACTGTGTGCAGAGTGTGCTGAGAGGAGGGTGCTGGCAGAGCCCCTTCACAGAATCACAGAATGGCCAGGGTTGGAAGGGACCTCAAGGATCATGAAGCTCCAATCCCCTGCCACATGCAGGGCCACCAACCTCCCCATTTCATAGCAGCCCAGGCTGCCCAGGGCCCCATCCAACCTGGCCTTGAATACCTCCAGGGATGGACGGGGCATCACAGCCTCTCTGGGCAAACCTTGCTGTAGACAAAGCAGTCCTGTTGCTTTGCTGGTCAGCACCAGTCATGAATCCCCGCTCAGGATGCTTTGAGCTTGGCTGTTTCCTGTGCTTTCAGCTCAGCAATGACCAAAGAACTCTCCAAGCACACAAAGACTTCATGGCTTCTTCCCCTACTGCACGGCACCACTCTCCTTGGGTCTGCAGATGATGCCTGCATTAATAAAAGCTGCTCCTTCAAGTGCCTCCAGAGACATGCAAGTGCCCTTGTTGTGTGGCATTTCCTCCCAGCTGTCCACTTGCCCAGCATGGAGAACCACTGTGAGCTTACAACACACAAGTGATGACCAGCAGCACCCAAGTGATGACTCCACTGATGCTGATGGAAGGCACTGAAACAGTCAGGCTGCATATCACGTCTATGTAGCAAAGCTTCCCAAAGTGCAGCTTGGCAGAATATGACGGGCTCTGACAGCAGCTGGGGACAAAACCCCTTAAAACTGCCCCGTTACAGCCAAAGCTTTGCAACTGGGGGTTTAATGGAGGCTGCCGAAGGCTCTGGCAGGGGGGCAGGCAGAGGCTCTTACTGAGAGTTAAATTACAGTGCCGTTGAGTAAGCACATTATTTTAAAAATGAGCTTAAATGCCGATTAAGCGATATGCATTTTGGCAAGCGAACAAGCGGTCGATAGGATCAGGCTGGATTCTTTACACTAACTCACAAACAAAGCCCAGCAAGTCCTTCCCCAGCTCCAAGTCGAGCAGCTTCGTGGAGCTGCAGCACCGAATGCATAAGTTTTCTTCGTGGTGAAAGACAGATGAGTTTCAGAGCGCCATCCGTTAGCACTGCTATTTGTTCATAAATCTAATATTGATTCTTTGCTGGTAGGATGTATTCCAGCAGGTAGAAGTTTATGGCTCATTACCTGGGCAGAGTGTAGCTCTGAATTTCAGCACACTTGAAACAATATATAAATGCCAGGCAGCTTTGCTGATGGCCAAGCTTCGGGCCGACAGCTTTCTTACCTAGAGACTTGGGCAACAAGTTCTTGACAAACTCGGTGTGATCCCCCACGTGCAGGATGCTGTAGACACTGGTGTTCATGAGCTCCTCCTGGTTGTACCCCAGGTAGCTGGTGACATTCTCAGAGACAAAGACGATCCTCCCTTCACGATTCACGACAAAGAAGAAGCCATCCAATGCCTGCAAAGGGATAAAGCAGGTCAGCATGGGGTCAGTGGGTCCCTGCACTGGAACACGGACAGGTCCTGTGCTGAGGATCCACTCTGAAACCAGGGAAACCTCCATGTGCCTCTTGCCCCAGCCCTTCATCCCATCATGTTAATCTTAGACCATAGCTCTCAAACAGGAGATGATGAGGAAAGACAGATCTCACGCATCTCGTGAGCAAATGACAGCAGAAAGCACAATATTATGGTTTTAAACTAAAAGAGAGGAGATTTAGATTGGATGCTGGGAAGAAATTCTTTGCTCAGAGGGCGTGAGGCCCTGGCACTGCCCAGAGAAACTGTGGGTGCCCCATCCCTGGAGGCATTCAATGCCCTGGATGCCCTGGGCAGTCAGTTCTGGTGGGAGGCACCCAGCCCACAGCAGGGGGATGGAGCTAAATGGGCTTTAAGGTTCCTTTCAACCCAAGCCCAAGCCATTCCAACCCAAGGTTGGAAAAGCCCTCTGTGATCATCAAGTCCCAGCCATCAACCCATCACCATCATGCCCGTTAAACCATGTCCCTCAGTGCCACATCTCGACTTTTCTTGATTGTATGCTCACATAACTAATGTAACTTCACTTCTTCTGACACATCTAACATTTTTCTGTTAATTCTCTCCCTCTTCTCCTCATCAGCAATTGTTTTTCACCCATTTTTCAACGCACCCAAAGTTCCTGGACACGGGCAAGGGCCACCTGAATGACGCCGAGCAGCTGACCTACCAGCACAATTACAGCTGCACATACTTGATGGCACAAAGGAGTAAACATGAGGATCAGTGTTGTGGTTAGCCGAGGGGCACTAATGGTAACGAGGTATTTCATAACCGCCGTGGATCCTTTGCTAGAGATCAAATAACAGTACATTTGCTTAAACATGTTCTAAGGTCTGCGAGCTACGCTGAGGACGTCTCTGCTTCTGAGTCCTGTGCCAGCAACACATAAACAAACCTTTTCAAAGGGCCAGAGCAGCAGCCTGGAAGACTGATTTGGCAAGACACTGAAGTTAAGCATATGCCCAACTTGCTTAATTACAGTCCAAGAATTGCAGAGCCCCAGCATCTTGCAGAATAATTTTGTGTGTGTGTGTGTGCATTTAGGTTGCAAGCGGCAAACTCAGTCCCTGCAATTGAGCAAATGAGGACAAAAGTGAACAAGACCCAATCACACAACATGGAGTCCTTCTGCTCACTTGAATGAGGACGCAATGAAGGTTTTCAGCTTTCTGCTTTCTGCAATGAGCTCGGAGTTGAGAAGCCCTTGAGAAGGCTGATGGCTGATTTACGCTCTTGCAGCCATGCTGCATCAGCTGAAATGTTTTCGTACAAGCAGGATTGGATTTCCACCTTCCTGGAGCTTAATTCCTACCTCTCCTACCAGCAAGCTCTCGTGCTGCACCACCCTGCAACCAGAGCATGAGGTGCCCTCCAGGCTGCCGCAGATTGCACAGGGACACTGGAATCCCATCACATCCCAGATTCCAAAATTGGTCCTTGCATCCCCAGCGAGCCCACTCACAGCATCCTGCCTGCACCAGGAGGGAGCTGCTCTGTGCTTCCCAAAAGTGAGGTTTTGCTGCGCAGTACCGAGCGAAAAAAAACCAGGAAGCCTTCAAGAAATTAAAAAAAAGAAGACAGAAAGAAGGAAAAAATCTTTTGTCAAGATGGTTCTGGCAGATCCACTGCCATTTTCCTTATGCCCAGCTGTGGTGCGTTGCCAAGACAAGCAGCTTTTGCATTTGGGGAGCCCAAAAAAGAGCCAAGCAAAGCCCCCCGCACCTCCCTCCAGCAGATGCTGCCTTTGGGGGCTCTGAGTTGACACCTAATGGGGACCTTATGTTTGGTGGCAGCAGCACGCAGCCCCAGCATGGTGCCTGGGTGGGCAGTGGGCATTGGGTCCCATCTACCAGCTCTAAATCTGGCAGTGCTTTCACACCCTGCCCGAGCCCAGGGCATCCCAACACTGGAAGTTGTTTCAGGAATGCTTTTAAGCAACAGAGGCTGAGTGCTGCTCGGGGACCAGCAAAACCACAAATTGCTTCTTGTGGTCAATCTACACAGCAAACAAACTGTGCAGCATCCTTGCAGGCTTCAAAATCCTGCAAGATCACCTGTGGGATGGCAGCAACAACACTGACATCCCCAACATGCCCACGGAGGTTGTGGATGCCCCATCCCTGCAGGCATTCAAGGCCAGGCTGGATGTGGCCCTGGGCAGCCTGGGCTGCTGGTTGGTGACCCTGCCCGTGGCAGAGGGCTTGGAACCTGGTGATCCTTGAGGTTCTTTCCAACCCAAGCCATTCCATGACTCTACAATTCTATGATTCTGGTCAAGGCAGAAGGCTCAGTGCCAAAGGGTGGCTTTGGAGCATCTACCTCCATTGAGCTTCATGCACTCGTGTGGGAAAAGGCCAATTAGGAAATTATTCCTCAGCCAGTGTGGGTAATAACTGTAATCTAAACATGCATTTCAAGCCAAACAATACACGGTAGATTATTTACAAAGCAGCATTTGCCAAACAGCCACACACCTCTGTATTCCTTCCCACAGAAAGGATTGATTAAAGCCCAACACCAGCACAGCATATAATTTTTGGTCACAAACAAGCTGATTTAATTAATTTCCCTTTCTATATAAGGAGCTCAGGTTTTTCAGTACCATTTGTAACACTGATGTGCTGCTTTGCTCCCAGGCATCCGCCACCTCCACAACTCTGGGCTGCAGCAGGGAGCCGAGATGGGATGCCCTACCATAGGATGGAAGAAGTGGAGATGAAGGGCAAGAAGCACGCCAGCCAAATGCTGAGCTGTTAACAACTCTGCTACAGAGTCACCTTCTGCTGTTTTATTAATTTGGACAGCATAACTTGAGGGTTCAAAGAAGAGCAGCACGCTGTGGGCAGATTAAGGACAACGTGGAAAGCTCCTCTAAACCTCCATTACAAACAAATCCCAATCTTCATTACCATTCTTCTGCAAGCCCCACAGTGAGCACCACATTGCTCTGCTGGCTGCTCAGTCATGCCCTGCATCCTATGCCAGAACATACTGACAGCTGCACTCTAGGTCTGTGAGCTGATGGTTGGACTGGGGTCCATGGGCAGACAGCTGGACTGTGGGTTGACAGTTGGATTTTAGGTTGATGGTTGGATTTGATGATCTTAGTGGTCTTTTCCAACTTTAATGATTCTATGATTCTATCTTCAGTGTGCCACTGGGGCTGCCACACTGGTCCAGAGATGCAACATGCAGCCTGCAGGCAGGGGCATGTCATCCTTGTGCTGGCTCCATGCAGGGCAACACACAGAGAATCCCACAGCTCCTGCAGCCAAAAGCATAGAGGGATGTGCCTTTCCCTGGTGTTTCCAGGGAAGGAGATCCGATGATGCAGACTGGATTTGGATAATGTAGCAAGCACCAGTAGATGCAGGTATCCTGAAGCCTAGACTCACTTGTTTTCTCAAAAAATATTCCTCATTTCACCTGTCAGTTATTTATTTGGCTTCCAGCAGAAATCATAGAATATGGACCGTGCCATATCATAAATTATGCCACTGCAGTTACTTACTGCACCCACCTCCAGCAGAAGAGGTCCCAGCGACTCCTTCTCAATCACTCCCTGGCTGCTGGATGAGATGTCAGACTTCTGGACTTCATCATCAGCTGCTTTCTCTGTAGCGAAGGAAAAGGGATGTTACAGCCAAAGAACTGTAATTCTCCTACTGAAATGTAACCAATAATAAACAAAGCATTGACAGCTGGATTTCATATATCCTGCCACCCAGACACTGCGTGACGCTCATCAATAGACTTTGGCATTCTTGTGTCATCTCGCAGCCCTGTGAAGGGAAAAAACTTGAAGAAAAAAATACATTGTCTTTTCTAATCCTGGTAAAATAAAGGCACTAATTAGATCACAATTTGCCACTGGCAGGAAGGAAAAATCATCTGAAGCAGAAGGCTGGAGAGAGAGAAATCCAACATCAACATTTTGAAAAGGAAATGGTGCATCCAGTTTAGTGCAGGCTGCAGTGTTTGATGGAGAGTTTTTCAGACAACATGTTAATAAATCACAGGCAGGAGGGATTCCCAAAGGACGGGCTGTGCCAGAGGAAACCTGCAGCAGGGAAACCCAGCACGGCCCAAGGTGCAGAGACACCAAGGTTTGGGTCTTGGGTGGTGCTGGGTGGAGGCAGGGGTTGGACTCAGTGGTTCTCAGGGTCCCCTTCCAACTCATGTGACTCCATGGACGTGGAGCGAGTGGTTTTGGCTCAGGAGCTCGTGCAGCCATCCTTTCCCCAGCCGTGTGCTCAGTCCACTGAGGGGGCACCAGTGGAACAGGGATATTGTGGACTCTGAATGGTTTTAGCCTCCATGAGGCCACGGTGAGCACACCGAAGGCACAACCCACGGGGTGTCCATGGTTCCTGGTGGATGCAACCACCTCACTGCTGCCACATCCACTCAGAGCACCACTGCCAGATGTTCCAGTTATCTCTTTCCTCCCCAGCTCGTCCCTAAATGAGAGCTAAATTGCATTTAGTGTTTTGCAGCGCATCAGACTCAGCAGCAAAGTGTCTAACTCGACGTAATATTTACTGCAAGCAGCACATTTGTGCCGTGATTCATTTGCGCGTAGATCTAATCCTATTAACGAGTGGCAAGTTTTATTACTCAGCATCAAATCACATTTGCAAGCCTTCCAGATGTGTCACTTGACACACTTCATCCTCCGCATCCTCCTGGGATGTTCGCCCCCATCAAACTCCTCCCTGACTCTGCTCTCCAGCTCATGCATTGCACATAGCAGGGCTTGAAGGGCATCAAGCTTCAAGGAGGATTTGCTTTTCAGGCAGGACCGAGCTGTGCCATGAGCTTCCCTCAGTCTCTGCCTCTGCTTTTGTTCCCACCCGTGGGCTGTTGGAAAATAAATTAGCTGAATCCAGCATGAGAAGGAGGCTGTGAGAAGGAAGGGGACAGACTTTTCAGCAAGGTCTGGTGTGACAGGACAAGGGGAAATGGTTTCAAATTAAGAGAGGTGAGTCTTAGATTGGACAACTGGCACAGGTTGCCCAGAGAGGCGGCGGTGCCTCATCCCTACAGACAGCCAAGGTCAGGCTAGATGGGCTCTGAGCACTGATGGAGCTGTGGGTGTCCCTGTGCAGTGCAGGGAGTGGGACAGGTGGCCTTGAAGGGTCCCTTCCAACTCAAACCATTCTATGATTCTCTGATTCCTGAACTGGGCTGCGCCCCCACCCCATGGTACCGGTGCAGGGATTCAGCCCCATCACGGCAGAGGCAGCAGCAGCTCTCTGAGCAGAACTCATCGTCGTTTATTACCAAAGGGCGTGAGAAACGGCTTTTTTCTGCTCTTCATAAATTCATGTACTTAGAGGTAATGGACTGGCTTTCAGATCTAATCCTTTAATTGGGCTGTGGGATCCTCCTCCCACTTTAGCAGAATAGTTTCATATGCCATCACCAAGCCTATTACTGGGAGGATTAGCTGGAGCTGTCGGCATCTCTCCTATGCATCTCCTTCACCTCCTGCAGCCCGGCCGCACGCTGGGCTGGGAGCAGAAGCAGCAGCCCCTGCTCACCTTCTCCAGAGCGACACATTGAAGCCACACAAAACTCCTTCCAAGTGTCAGCCCGTCCCTGCAAAGCACTTAACTTAATGTGCTTAAACGCAGCTCTTTAGCGTCTCATTCTGAGCAGCCCTACCTCGGGAGAGCTACAAGGAATACATTACCACCAACCACTGTTTTGCTCCTTAACCCATTAGTCTCGCTCTTCTTTTCCCTCTATTAAAGCTGTCTGCTTTACCACCTCACCTGATGCCTCACACGATGACTTGAGCATGGGAGCATCCATTGCGGGCTGAGCGCTCCCTGCGCTCAATACCAAACCCAGAGCAAAGTGATGGTCCCCGCGGCCCCGGTGCTTGTAATCTAATTATAAAGCTGGATGGACAGATCCACAGGAAAATAAAACCAGCAGGAGCAACAAATCTGCCGCTCTCCTACCGTGGGAGGCAGCCGGGATTCGGCCCTGGGGGCTTTGGCATCCGCTGGCATCGTAAATCCCCATCGCGCCATAAAAGTCAGGCACACCAATGGCCCTGATTACAGCATAATTGCCTCAAACGTGATTAAAGCGGCTCCTTCTCGCAGCACAAAGGAGGATGAGCTATTTTAAATGCATTCTTAAAATGACGCCTTGATTTTCTGACAGCTCGGGAGACTTATGGGTGCCTGGATGGCTGTAGGAGCCATGAGCGCTCAGCAAGCCAAAAAATCAGCTCACTGGACTGTTTACCTACTCTTTACTTACTTGACTTTGCTGCATGCATCCCTTTGGCAGGAGAATACATACACTATGATTTTCAAGGCAATGGGATGTCCAGGATCCTGCACTCAGCCTGCACTCACATATCTGGGGCAAAGCAAGCACCCAAAACGGTGAGAAGATGCATTATGGAGAAATGAGGTGGGAGCCATCATGATAGCATTCAAGGGCACGATGGGAAAAGTCTCCAAAAAAGCCTTAACTCATCCCATTTTACCCAAATCATGACAAACCTGTACAAAACGTGTAGACGTGACATGGAGGGTCATGGTTTAGTGGGCATGGTGGTGATGGGGTGATGGTTGGGCTTGGTGATAGAATCATAGAACTGCTGGAGTTGGAAGGGCCCATGATTGGAAGGGACCATGATCTGAGAGATCTCTTCCAACCTTAATGATTCTATGGCATGGTGGTGATGGGTTAATGGTTGGACCTGATGGTCTTGAGGTCTTTTCCAACCTTAATGGTTCTGTGATTCTATGAACGGGTCTTCTCAACAGGGGTGCTGGTCAGAAGCCTTGTGTTCTTAAAAAACAAAGTGCACCCAGGAAATCAGGATGACCATTTCCTATTCCCAGCGTGAAGGCTTTTAGTGCTTCCCTCTCCACTCAAGAGGAGCTCGCTGCCACTCCCTAGAAAACCCCATGAAGCTCTGTGGACATTGCCAGCACCCAGCCAAAGGGCTCTCTTTTAATCCAAAATTTCCATGGGGAAATGTGGTTTTTTGGGGGTTTTGAGTTCGCTATGAAAAAATAAATAGCCTGAAGGCAAAATGTTCAGCCTGAGAGAGGCTGTGGCTGTGTGCAGGGGGGGCACCAAGGACCTGTAGCAGAACGTTGGCGTAGGGGACAAGGATGGGAGGATGCTAAGGAAGGCAGGGAAGCCAATGGCAATGGCAGCCCCCAGCTCAGCCCTGCTCTATCTGCTTCATAAGAGAGGAGCAAGGCGACTGAATCCACAGCTGTAATTTCCCCGATGAGGAGCTTTGATTTTTAGTTAATTAAAATCAGATGGAACAGACTCGGTGCACCCACGGATCGAGAGCATGACAGAAAGCTATGCCATTAATTAGTGCCTACTATCAGTCCAGTAAACCCAACAGGAAAAAACTGCCATAAAAATAAACTACTCAGCAGAAGGTTTTCTGAGTGCACAGCACGCACCTTCTAGAAAACAAAAATTGATTTTAAGAAGCCTCGAGAGGAAAAAAAAGACAACAACAAAGGAAAAATATTAAAGGAAAGCAGCATGTGAGGGGATCTAGACATAAAACATGTGGTTTTAAACCAAAGAAGGCATGTCCAAGGCTATCTTTGGGGTTAAGGGGAAAGAGCATTGCTGGCTGGGTGGTGGCCCAGGTCAGGAGTTGATCTTCAGCATGGTGTTGGCACACAAGGCCATGTGTGTCTGGGGACCAAAGAGGTGAGGAGCATTATGATAAAGAATCAAACGAGGAAACCATTTGCTACGACATCAGTGGACCTACTGATTTAGGAAGGTTTGCACGCCTGAAGGTGATGTTCTTTAAATATCAGCTGTTCCCACGCACAGAAGGGGCCAATTTGTGCTGCCCCATGCAAGGCAGGGATGTGAAACCAGTCTGTTCTCCCTACTGTGGCTGGAGCTTTGCTGGGAGGAATTTGCCTCTTGGCTGGGAAAGCAAACAGGAAGACTCAGCGATACACAACACGGTTTTTCCAGTGGTGCTCTCCCTACTCAACAAGGTTGTTTGGGGTTTACTTCATTCCTATCTTGATTACAGTGCCCAGCCATGCTCCCAACTGCAGCCCCTTTGCAATGGCTCCCACCTTCTTTGGAGATAGCACAACCCAAAACTCAAGCTGCAGGAGCTGAGGTTTGCCCACTGCCCATCGAAGGCACATCAGCACATTCACATGGAGGCAGGTGCAGAAAACCCATCGCTGAGTTTTCCTCTGCACAGACACCAGATTCCTACAGAACACTGTATGGAAATCAGCAGCTCTTTGGTTGTATAACTTTTTATTCTAGTAGGTGGAAGGAAATTATCTGATCTATGCATTTAAGAAACTGTGGAAAAATACAATCTGGGAGCTTCAAAGCTTGAAAATACCAGTGCAAGAAACAGAAGAGCAGATCTCAGCTTCCAGAATCAAGCATAGCTCCCTTGGAGCCCTGTGCAGACCAGCCTGATGCCACCCCTCATGGCCACCCATGGGAGACAAGCATGGGGGGCTCCCAGTGATGGAGAGGTCTCTACCTGAGCTCCTCTACCTGTGCCTCTTTTGTGGGCAAAGCAGAGAAAAGGCATTTTTAGAGGAGAACCGCTCAATCCGTTTATTCTG